CCAGGTTTTTGTGATGTGAAGGGACAGTCAGCTTTGAAAAGCTAAAGAAAGGGATCGGTGATGTCCCCTCAGGCAGCGGGGGCTTGGGGCTTTTTTTGGGTATTCCAGAGTTGTGTCCTTGCGCTGGGAAAGCAGGGCAGCAGCCTTATAGATCTCCGAGGGTGAGGGCTGACATCCATCCATCCATCCATCCATCCAAGCTCTCAAATCCCAAATATCGCAAATTAAGACATTTCTTCAGCACCACCTTGTGCTAAGGGGTGGCCACTGCAGTTCTCTCTCCGGAGGGGACCGGAGTGGGAGACATCAGAATGTTTTAGTACTGAGGCATTAAACTGTGTGCTCCTTTAAAAAAAAAAGTCTCTTTACAAACACCGTGACCTCCCATTCCTCATCCAGAAGCGAGACACTGTTCCTGCAGCTTCCAGCAAGGAGCAAAAGCACAGCCAGGGCTTCTGGTTAATGGAGCTTTAACCTTTCCCTGTGATCCTGATTTGGAAAGATTGCTTTTCATCCGCTATCTCCAAAACCCACTCTCCCTTCTGGAAAAAACTGCATTGGAAAACCAAGGTTTATTCATGCAGGCTATGTTAATTCATCCCTAAAATTCCTTATATTTGGAAATACTCCAAAGATCTCCTACTGCTTAAATAATGAAATGACACGACATCACTGTTCTGGGGTGTCTTTTTCATTTTAATTTGGCTGGTTTTCCACTGCACTTCTGAAAATCATTCCATATACCATGTGGTAAACAAGTGGGAGCGTTGATGGCAATGCACAGTCAGTGGGCACAGGGGGAGGGGACCACGCAGGGAATATTTTTGACTTTCTTCCTCAGGACTCATAGGGACGGGAGTTTCCGTATCACATCTTTCAAATATTGTATTGAGCTGTTTACAGTGTGTTTGTGTTTTTATTTAAATAAGTATGTGTATGTATTTGCTTTCCAAAGAAAGCATGTAAGGGTTGTCTTCTTGATGTTAGGTGGGGAAAAAAGAGAGTGAGTCGTAGCAGAGGCAAGCTCAGGGCTCTGGTGTCTCTTCTGGGCTCATCCTGTTCAATCGAGATGCATTTACCCATTGGGTTCAGCTGTTTGGGGGTGCTCCGGGGGATGATGCTGGTTTGGAAATCATTCTCACTTGTGCAAGGGGGTTCCTCTTTGGCATGGGAGACCCAGTTGGTGGGTGACCAACCTTGGGGAGTTACGGTGCAGCAGTGATTGATGAGAGACACACTGCTGGGAGAGGATGGGGAGATCATCAGCCCAGTGGGTGTTTATCACTGGGCCCCACAGCCCTTCCTCTATGCTTGAACTAAGATGGTTTGACCAGGAGTTTTTCACCTTCAGTCATCTATACATGGCTGCCCAGGTACAGCTTTTCTCCTTCCCCCTCCTTTGTGTTTCTCGTGTCATTCTCTGCTCTCGCACCAGAATTTGTAACCACTGGGCTAGGACATAATTGGAAGAGATAACCCGTCTGCACTTGTACCTGGGTGAATCTGCAAACCCCCAGGTGCTGGAGATTAGTCGCCCACCGCGTGTCCCTGCCTTGCACGGAGCACTTTAGCTGTCCCCTCCTGCCACGTCAGCTGAAGAGCGGCGCACGCATTTGTCTCTGAGGTGGGAGGCTGTAACGCAGCGCTGAGTAACTCAGTGTAAGAGGGATGATTCACAGCACACTGCCTGCGTTGCAAACCCCACGGATCTGAAAATTTGAATGGGGAGGGGGAAGGGGGGAGTCTCAGCACTCTGCTTTTTAAGCTGCAGGAAGGATGGTTGAAGTTGCTCAGGAGGATGGTGGGGTCAAAGAGGACCCCAACCACAGTGAACCGAGGAGGATTTTGAACAAGCCATACCCTTGTGATTGGTGTTAAAATGTCAAAACAGCAGCCAGAGCCCCGGTCTGCCCATCCCGTGTGTTACCCTGGGCAGTGCTCTGCTGTCCTCCAGGTGAAATCTGGGGAAGGCACGGACACGCTGGAGGGACGTCTCCAGGCCACGCTCACTAACGCCTCCAGATGAAATCTGGGGAAGGCACAGACACACTGCAGGGACGTCTCCAGGCCACGCTCACTAACGATCTGAACAGCTGGACAGTGTCAAAAGTGAAGCAGGACACCAGGAATAATTGTAGCGTTTGGAATGAATGTAAACTGAAGGAAGATGCCAAAACCACAAGAGAGAGTAGGTGAAGGAAGTGACTAAAAGTGAGCATGGATTCCTGGGCCTTGAATGAGAAACAGTGAAACCACCTTTGTGTACAGGAAAGAAGTGGTCCGAATTATGTCCACGTCAGAATTTATTCCCCACAACTAAGGTGGTGCTTTGTGTTTCTGTCCCACTGCTGCGTGCTCTTTGCCCAGTGGACACCCAGTGGTGTCACTTTAGACTCCACAAATCACCATTGTTCCTTCCTTTATAGGTTGCGTGGTGATAAAAGGAACTCCCAAAAATAATTGAGCATCATTTAGTACTTTTCTTCTGAGTCATAAAAAGAGAACCGTGTGAATATTTCCTCCCCTGCAAGCCTAATGTGGATGTTAACTTTGAAACCTAATTAAATGCTCAATGTGGTGTTATCTGCATAATGCTGGTCACCCCTGGCAAGGCAGCGGGGGGAAGGTAGCAAGTAAGACCCTGAGAAAGGAATTTGGAAGTAATAAAGAAAAAAAAAGGAAGAAAAGTGAAAGAAAAAGAGGGAAAAGGGGACAGGAACTGTGGGAGAGCACAGCAGTTTGTGACAGCACGCTCACACTAGACAGACGTGTGGTCAGTGACACTGGGGGTCGTGAAGCAGTTGCACCGTGTTGTGGTTGTGCTGTACACACCACTGCCTTGAGCCTGTTCTCCTGGAGCCTCAGAGCAGCTTGCAATCCTGGTGATGTGTCCCAGAGCACAGGCTGGAGTCAGGGCTGCCTTCTGGCTTCCTTGGAAGAGAAAGACGCTTGGTTTTACAGAATGGAAATTTCACTGAATTTTTAGAGTTGGAAGGGACCATAGAGATCATCTAGTCCAACTCCCCTGCTAAAGCAGGATTGCCTAGAGCTAGAGCATGTTACTCAGGACTGCAGCCAGGCGGGTCTTGAAAATCTCCAAAGAAGGGGGCTCCACAACCTCCTGTTCCAGGGCTTCGTCACCCTCACCCTGAAAAAGTTCTTCCTCATATTCAAGGGGAACCCTTTATGTTCCAACTTGTGCCCATTGCCCCTTGTCCTCTCACTGGCAACTACTGAAAAGAGTCTGGTTCCCTCCTCCCTCAGCCCGCCCTTGAGATACTTGTAGGCAAATGAAGGGTTGGGTTATTTTTTAGATGTCTTGGTCTGGCCTTGATTCTGTTAACCTTGGAGAGAGTAGATAACATCTAATATTCTTTAATGATAATATGTTGGTGCTGTCTCTGGTGGCACAGCCTTGGCTTTCTGCTGTGCGTGGCGTCTCTACGCTGTGTATGGCAAAAGCTAAAGGGGCTGTTCCTGTTGGTGTCTCCTCAGGGTGCTGAAGTTTTGGCCTTTGTCGTTCTTATGGAGCAAACTCTCCACGTGTGAGCAGCTGGGACACCGCCTGCAGCACCTCCAGGTCATCAGCAGCAACAAGAAGGCTCAAAACCAGACCCAGCTCCAGAGGTATGGAGTGCACATAAAGTCCCGCGTGTCTTTGCTCTGGCCCTGGCTCCTCCGGGGAGCTCAAACTGTGGATCCCGTCCCCACGCAGCGCTACGGGGTCCTCACTGCACCACTGTTGCCTTCCCTGCTCTGCTCCTTGCTGGTCTGCAGATCTTTGCACTTTGTTTATATTAATGATGCCTTTTGCCTGATAATGTGCTTTTTTCCCTAGCCTAGGAAAGGCGACCAGGCTATTGCCCGCAGAAAGCTTGTCCTGCACCCATGTGTGTAGTGCTTTGCTGTCACCACAAGCTCATTGCTTCCACATACACTGCTCTTAACCAAAAACTGGCATCTGTATTCAGCAGCACTTTCCATAAGAGCAGAATGCTCTAAATGCTCTCCTCTTTCACCCACTCTTTGGGGGAATCTTTCTTGCAGTAACCGCAGAGACTCCACCAGCAGCAGCAGAGTGGGTGCAATAGAAGCAGCAAAGAGGCAGCACAGGGAGTGGAGCGGGGAGAGGCAGAGATGTGAGACAGATACAGAATGCCCTGTGGCCATTACACTGCCAGTCTTGTTCTGTGTGGTTCTCTGATCCTGCAGTAATAGACTCCCGGGGAACACTTAAAATAGATTAGCAGATTTGAAGGCCAAAAGTAACCGTGATTGTTTAATCTGATTTCCCAAATAACTCACGTCATGGAATTTCATTCAGAAACTCGGGCAGTGAGGGGGCAGTTCAGCAGCCCTTCTGGGAACGTTTGTGTACCCAGAAACACGATTTATTACGTTGATTAGTCATTTAACTAAACCTCTCGGAGAGCCATCTAATCTCAACGTGGATATGCCAAGTGCTGGTGCCCTTAGTATTGGTAAATCCCCCTGAGTATATACATATATATATATATATATCATACACATTTTGTATAACATTCCTTTTTGTAGCTTCAGTGCCACTCTTTGTCCCCATACTAAGGAAGGTTTTGTGGTGTGGCAGGCTCCCAGTGGCTCCATGTTTGGCCACAGAAGCAGCAGCACACCAATGAAAGTCAAAAGATCTCTGCACTGTGTCTCTAATTGTCCCGGTGTCCCTGGGACATTAAAGATTCTACGTAAGTGAAGCTGCCAATTGTCATTGAAACATCAAACGCTGTCCTTCCTTTTTCTCTAACGCTGTTTCTCTTTATCCCCTGTGCAGGAAAGCCAACATCTTTGTCTCTCTGCTGATTGATGTGGCTCTGGGGATGCTGCTGGTGTCCTGGCTGTACCGAAAGAACCGAATTGGTCACCTTGCTGACACCCTCATCCCCGCGGCTGATGTGAGTCTGCCCAAAGCTGTTTGTCTTCCACGGGCTGTGGGTGCTGACCACCTCCTGATGTCTTAGACAAGGATTTCAGAGAGTCCTGTCTGAAGTCATGCAAATCAGGTCTCCTCAAGAAGGGTGAAATCTTCAAACCAAGCCTGCTGGGGCTGTTCCAGAGGAGCCCAGCTCTGCTTTGCGTGTGCAGTGAATAGTAATTAGATGTTTACCAGAGGGCTGCCCCAGCTCCTCCAGTAACAATTAGGGCTTGGACTGAGCTCTGCAGCGGCAGGTTGAGTGGTTCTCAAGCCAAAATGCTTTTATTCTCAAGTCAACAGGAAGCATTCTCAAGTTGTTGCTATATGGGGCATATGGGGGGGGAAGGGGGGGGGAAAGCTGTAACCTGGGTTGAATCTGATAAACTGCTGAAAAGGCAGACTTGATAAGGAGTGCAGCTGTGCTCGTGAGGAGAAATTTCATGGGGAAATCCAAAGGCGGTAGCTACTCAGGGCACAAACACCTGAAATCCTTTAGCAGAGCTCTGCTGTGCAGATGGTGAACTAGGGAAACTTGCTGTGCCCTGTGATTTTCTCCAGCACATCTCCTCTTGCCCACTAAGATCCTTTGGCATCAGCATAAATTAATGACGGTAGCTACTCAGGGCACAAACACCTGAAATCCTGTCTGAGAGCTCTGCTGTGCAGATGGTGAACTAGGGAAACTTGCTGTGCCCTGTGATTTTCTCCAGCACATCTCCTCTTGCCCACTAAGATCCTTTGGCATCAGCATAAATTAATGCAGAACAAGTATGACTCACACTATCCTGCTTTTCTGGTGGCTCGTTTGAGGTGCAGTACTCCAAAGTATCTGTTCAGCGGCAGTAAGGAACATATAATGTACTTCAGAGGGTGGAGACCAGACTGCTGATCTGAAATTAGCTCCATTTTAGGAGCTTCTGTGCCTTGGCAAAGCATGTGCAGCCAAGGTTGAGTGCTGTCACGCAGCTGCACAGCTTAATCCCTTCTCTGCCCACTTTCATTTCTGGGAGGGAAGGTGGATCTTTCCATTGGTTTCTTTCTAACAGCTGGAGAATGTCCTCTCCTTGCTCTTTCTCTAACTTCTTGGTTGTGAGGAATTTTACTCTGATTAGAAAATTTCAGCAGCAATTTCTTTTTCATACGTATCCTGTTTTTCTTGAGAAGAGCTCATGTGTCCCTTGATGATGATCTGCATGGTCCATGTCTAACCTTTTAACTGTTACAAGCCAGAGGTCTCTGATCATTTTTGCACATGCTGTGCTTTCAGAAAGTGTGTATGGAGTGTCCAGCAGAGCTGTGGGTCACTACTACTGCTATTTTTATTATCTTTCGTAGTCAAACTTTTAAGGAGTCCATGCTCTAAGGATTGCTGCAGACACTATTCAGCAGCAGTGGTGGGGTAGAAAGGACCACAATTCTTACAATGCATCCTTACAATGCTCTTGTATTTGAGCTATGTGCTAAAAATGTTTTTCTAAGTCTTATTTCTAAGGCTTTTCCCTTACAGATATTTCAGCTGGAGAAGGTAAAGGTCTCTAGAGCTCTCCCTGTGGGATTACTGTAAGTGTCCAGCTCTCAGAAATCTTGATTTCTTAACAAGTCTGGAAGGAGGTGGCTTTTGGCAGCGTTGCTGTTTGCACAGGCGGCTCCAGGAGGGGTTCCATCTGCCCGGTGTCGTTGGCAGATGGACGCTCTCCGTGCTCGAGGTGTATCCAGTCCCCACTCCTGCCCTGGACAGGCTATTTGTGAGAGCTGCTCCTTCCTTCCTCCTTCAGTAATTTAGCTCTTCTGCTGCTCAACTTACGCACCAGAGTGTTGGTTATTTTCTCCATGTCTCCTACACGCGTGGACTTCGTCACCCTGCTATCACCAAGAGCTGATTACTTGCTTTCCTGGAAGTGTGAGCTCCTCCTTGTGTGGGCAGCCTGGTTGTCGGTGTCTTTCTTCTCTGCCACTCTGAGCTTATCAGTTCAGGCCACTTGCAACTCCTCTTACTTCCCAGCCTTACTTTCTTCTTTCAAGCATTTTAGATTGTGGACATAAAATCATTTGGAGTCCTTTTACTGCCTTCGGTGGGCATTGATTTATATGCATTATGTGCAGGCCTTAAAAAAATGCAGATCTGAGCCATCCCGAAATATCCCAATGACTTCAGCATGTGCTGTGAGAGCCAGCACCACTTCTTTTCCAGCCTGACAGCAAAATCTCCCCGTAGCCGTTCAGCAGTAGGTTTCCTCTTTGCTGCTGAGTGTCCATCTGGTTTGCATTATTCCCAGCACTGGGGCTTTCTCGAGTGCTTCTGTGCTGCCAAGGCCAGGAACACAACCTCTCCCCTGTGCGGGATGAGCTGCTTTTCCTTCCCCAGTGCTCCTTGCTGTTCTGTGTTTGATGGCATCGACCTTACAGCTCTGTATCTGTTAGTAAATGGACATTGTCTATACTACTATAAGATTATGATATATTCCAAGGTTATATACATAACCTTATTTTAACCTTATTGAATTGATTGATTTTAATATTGACGAACCTTACATAACGTATAACCTTAGTGGTTTGATTGATTGATTTTAATATTGACAAAATAGTGGCTGTGTGGGGACTGGCTCCAATGCTTATTTTTTTTTTCCCTAGCAAACATCTCTCTGGAAGGCAGGAGATGCAGGTGGGTTATTTTGGCTCTCACCAACTGCCAGGGTCACACACTGAGGATCAGGCCGTGTTCCTGAGCCACCGCTCGTCATCCCCTGATAGAATGGCTCTCACATCAGCACTTGGCTGGCAATTGTTGATGATGCACAGGACATCATTGACTGCAGCTCCCACTTTCACAGCTTGATGAGCGGCGCTGGGCTGACGGAAATAACGAGTTGCTTTTGTCAGTAAATGAGGCAGATGTGATTCAGAGACACCTAGGGAGGAACTGGCGAGAAGCTGTGTGCAATACCGAAGGACCGATTTTTTTCGGAGCAGGCTTTCAAATCCAGGAATGGAAAATGTGAATAATCTTCTCTCTGTAGGTGCCCTCACAACTCCTACCCTCCTGCTTCCTCTCCATCCCACCAGGTTCCCAGTGGTTGTCCTTGTTTTCGCCTTCCGCAAGACAGCCTTCTTTCAAAAATACCCAATTCAAAGCACTACACTTGTCTGTTTTAAAAAGAAGAACTGCTTATAAACTATCTTCTTTTCTTTTTTTCTCCTTCACCTCTTTCATCCTTGCTGATGTCTCTTTTTCTTAAGCTGTAATCTCTTTGAAACAGTTAAATATTTATCAGAGATCGTGCCTCCAAGAATATTGCTGGGGCTTAGAGATAACTGGATGTAAGTTCCTATTCCGTCATGTCCTGCTAATCCATAAAGCAAGCAAGCAGAGAGGACACTTCCTGGGAAATATTCTTAGATCTTCACTTGTAAAATAGTATAATTTAGACCCCCAATCGTCTGCAACAGACACAGGGTCTGGTAGGGGTGTCTAGTGGGGGTCCTTTGGCTCTGCTTGCTTTGACTTGCACTATGTGCTCCGCTCGGGTAGTTTGGGCTGTTCTTCCCAGTGCAGTGCGCTGTGTGTCCTTCTCCATCCCTGTCACATCCCCACACACCCTCTGCATGTGGAGAATGGAAAGAAGAGCATGACAGGAAAGAAAATATTTCAGCAGCAGTCTCGTCTAAACCGTGTTAGCTTTAGTCTCCAGGTTGGTAACGTCCCGGCACCCCTTTAGGAAACACTCCCAATTCACAATGTCTTATTTGTTAATCCTGGCCACATTCAGCATTTGTGACTGCGGCAGGAGAATTCACCCAGTCACCTTTTCTGCTTCTGCTTGCTATTGATCTGGCTGGAAAACAACCTGCAAGGTGATGCCTTAGGAGTGGGTTTTGAAATGCCTTGCCCGGCTGAAGAGCAGCCAGGGAGGGCACCTTCCCAGGGCTACGTGCCCCTCTCAGAATTCAGTAGCCCCTCTGGGACCAGCAGCCTCCAGAAGTTTTCAGTGCTGAAAACCAGCCTTGCTGAAGGACTGCTTTCAAGCATTTAAATATTTCATTAAAATCCCCAAATGCTTTTTCTAAGTTACCAATCCAACACTTTAAATATTAAAACCAGTCTATTTATAAAGCAGCTAACACTTGTGAACACAGAGGTAAGATCCACGGGTTCAAATCAGTTCTGACTTATGGTGAGACAGGGGAAAATGAATGAAATAAAAAGGCAATCTTTTCGGTTAAGTTGAAGATGGAGCCCTTAATCCTGCCCTTACATTAAAAGTGAATGCTTACAAAATTTTTTTTGCAAGGATCCTGTTGGTTAAGAAATAAAATGGAGTCATTCCTTGGAAATAATTTTCCCTTAGGGAAATTATCCATATGGATGATGAGGAAAGTAGGCTGCAGTGCCTCGTCTTTAGGTAGCGTGTGTCAATTCTTCTACACGTGCACCATTTGCAGTGCAATTCCATTGCATGGATTTAACTGTAAGTGGGATTTTTGGAGGTAGAAGGCCTTTACTCACAATCTCTGGTCGTGCAGGACAGCGTGAGAGGTCCCTTCTCCCAGGTGTGCTCCCCACCCCTTTGCTGGAGGTTTCTGCTCTCAGCTACCTCGATTCACAGCCCGGTACATGGACTTCAGCGCTGGTTTCAGCTCAGTGAGTTGGTCAAGCTGCTGAGGGGAAGATGATCTGCCCTGTCAACTGCAAGGAGGACCTCTGGCAAGGGAAAAAATCAGGAAATAACATTGGCCTGGGATTAAATCACCTTAAATCACCAGAAATTGTGCTTGGTGTTTTGGGGACAAGCTCCATTAGCCTTTTTTTCTCAATGATTCAGAGGGTTTCTTTTTCACTGGGATGCCAGGGTATGTCTCCATAAAGCTTGCAGAGTAACATAGAATCATCAAATGGTTGGGGTTGGAAGGGACCTTCAAAGCCCCCCCAGTGCCACCCCCTGCCCTGGGCAGGGACACCTCCCACCACACCACGCTGCTCCAAGCCCCCTCCAACCTGCCCTTCAACCCCTCCAGGGATGGGGCAGCCACAGCTTCTCGGGGCAACCTGGGCCAGGCTCCCACCACCCTCGGCAAGATTGGTGCTATACATCATGGTTAATCTCACCAAGTACAACACAGAGTATCAAGAAAGTTTGTTTACGTATGAAATACATTTATATACTTGTGTTTTCTACCCTGCAGTAAACACATAGGGGTTACTTGTTTGTGAAAATTCACTTTTTTTGCCCATGAGTGCATTGCCATCTTCCCCGTTTTAAAATCCTGACAGCCTTCCCCATAGCTAATTATTTGCTTAGTTCTGACTTTTCAGTTGACTGTCTGAAAAGTCAATTTGTGCACCTGCATTTGCCATCTATTTCAAGAACTCTCATTACGCCGAGAGGTCCCACGGTGTGAGTCTACCAGAGGTGGCCACAAACAAGCACTGGGTTTGTGTTCCCAGTGCTGAGACCACTTCAGTAGTTCAGCTTCCTCTCTGCCTTTACGTTTGGATTCAATAACGAGTCACTAAAGGTGCATTTCTGATTTAACTAGTTGTCTAAGTAGTAATTTGGATTTTTTTTCCCTTTGGTTTGAAGGGCATGATGAGAATACTTTGTGGGGGGTGGCACGTAGAGCGCACTGGAGCTGTTCAATGTGGTAGCAGTGTTTTATCTCAGGTGCTTCCATGTTTGTAGCACGTCGCTGAAGAGCTCCAGGACCTGCTCCAGTGGCTGATGGGAGCACCAGCTGGACTGAAAATGAACCGAGCTTTGGATCAGGTTTTGGGCCGCTTCTTCCTTTACCACATCCATCTTTGGATTAGTAAGTGCAATTGTTTAACTTTTCAGCCTCCCTTTTCATCTCTTGCCTCCCGAGTGTTTAATGTTTGCCTCGAGGTGAATAATGAATCCAAATGCACTACTGCAAGTACAGACTTGTCTGTGAGTCTTCCTGCTGTGGGAACTCAGGCCGAAGTTGGATTCCCACACAAGGAAGTCATGCATATTAAATAAAGCACTTGTCTCGAAGCGTTGCAAGAAGTGCAATCCATGAGGGAGCACACTTCCTTGGTGCTGTTAGTGCTGAGCATCCAGGGGAAGGCGTGAGGTTTTTGTGGGCTTTCAGAGTCTTTGCCCTGTGAGAGGCAGTGGTTTCCAGCGATAGGACAAGGGGCAACAGGCTCAAGTTGGAACATAGGAAGTTCCATTGTTGGGACTGTTTAGTTTGAGGAAGAGGAGGCTGAGGGGAGACCTCATCACTCTCTACAACTTCGTGAAAGGACACTGTAGAGAGGTTGGGGCTGGTCTCTTCTCACAGGTAATTAGTGACAGAACGAGAGGGAACGGCTTCAAGCTCCAACAGGGTAGGTTTAGATTGAACATTAGGAAGGAATTTTTCACTGAAAGAGTGGTCGGGCATTGGAACAGGCTGCCCAGGGAGGGGGTTGACTCACCATCCCTGTCTGAGTTTAAGGGAAGTTTAGATGCGGTACTG